ACCCAAAACCCAAGCTTTGTGTTCTTGTTCTTCTCTTCCTCCAAGACTCTCTCTAGTTCTCTCTAAGTGTGTTTTGTGTTATGATACTTCTATCTCTCATGAAACAACAACTAATGCCTTTGTTTGGATTTTGATCTTAAGACAACGTGAAAATACCATACTATCCTCCACTAGTCTTACTAACCCAAAATATAATTCAAAAGGCCACTTAATCAAAATAACTCCAAATAATTAAAATAACTCCGAATAATTAAATATCGGTCCGAATAATATTTTACCGAACCAAACAAAATAATTACCGGTCCCTCAAAATAAATACCGGACCGAATAAAATAATTACCGGTCCCTCAAAACAAATACCAGACCGAATAAAATAATTATCGGTCCCTCAAAACAAATACCGGACCGAATAAAATAATTATCGGTCCAAATAAAACGCCGCCGAATATATTAACAGATATAACGGTTAATTTAAATATTCTCGTCGCAAAAATAAACGTCAAACGGTAACTCGAAAATATTAATATAATATTAAATAAAACGAGGCGTTACACTGATGGTCATAACAAGAGATGAAGATAGATTCAAGGACCAATGGTACTTGCATTCAGGATGCTCATCACATATGTCTGGAAGGAAAGACTGGTTTGTTAACATAAAACCCTCAATGAAAAATATGGTAAAACTCGCAAATGACAATACCCTAGCAGCTGAAGGTATTGGTGATGTTATGATTATGAGGAAAGATGGCAAGAGGTCAGTAATTTCCAATGTATTGTACATACCAGGCATGAAGAGCAATTTGCTCAGTATAGGGCAGTTGGTCGAAAAGAATTATAAAGTGTCGATCGAAGATAAGATGATGAGACTCGTCCACGCAAATGGAAGATTAATCTTGAAGACTCCTATGTCTAAAAATAGAACCTTTAAGATCGAAGTAAATGTGATGGAGCACAAGTGTCTTTCGACTGCAGCTAGCAGAGATGAATGAATATGACATTATAGACTAGGCCATCTCAACTTCAGAGACATCAGAGATTTGAAGAGAAGAAATATGGTTTCAGGATTGCCAAAAACTGACATTCCAAACGAGGTATGTGAGGAATGTGTGCAGGCGAATCAGCACAAGAATAGCTTCAGCAAGGATGCAGGAAGCAGGTCGAAGGCTATTCTTGAAGTCATATACTCTAATGTATGTGGACCAATCCAGGTGGACTCGATGGGAGGTAACAAATACTTTGTTACATTCATATATGATTTCAGTTGAAAGTTGTGGACTTACTTGATCAAGAAGAAAAGTGAAGTGATCGAGGTATTTGCCAAGTTTAAGTCTATGACCGAAAGACATAATGGTCGAAAACTCGAAATTTTGAGAACTGATGATGGTGGAGATTATGTATCGAAAGACTTCGACATGTTATGTGAAAGGAAGGGATTATGCATAAGGTGGTGCCACCCTATACTCCACAACAAAATGGAATTGTAGAAAGGAAGAATCGAACCATCATGAATATGGTGAGAAGTATGTTGAAAGGCAAGAATTTACCTAAAGAGTTTTAGGGTGAAGCTGTTTCGACTGCAACATATATTTTGAACAGATTTCTTACGAAGAAGCTAGAAGGAATTACTCCAGAAGAATGTTGGTCTAGTGTGAAGCCTAGCTTGAGTCATCTGAAGGTATTTGGATCTATTACACATAGACATGTGTCAGATCAGTTGAGAAGAAAACTTGATGACAAGTCAAGTCAAATGATTCGTTGGATATCATTCGACAGGAGGTTACAAGTTGTTCGACCTAGTAAAAAAGCAGATTGTGATCAGCAGGGACGTGATCATAGACGAGCTTAAAAAATGGGATTGGAATGAAAATGTCAAGAAAGATTTAGTGGGAATCGTACTTGAAGAACCAGAAACTCAAGTCGAAAGAGAAGTTCAACAAGAGGAACCAGCAGTTATAGATCAACCAAGTACAAGCAGACCTCAAAGAATAAGACGCATGCCTGCAAGATTACAAGATTGTGTGATTGCATCAGATGATGTGATAGATAATGAAGGTGAGCTGGTATATTATGCTTTCTATACAGATGTCGAACTTGTCAATGCAACTGAAACATTGAAGGATTTGAAGTGGGTGAAAGCAATGAACGAAGAAGTGAAGTCTATCAAAGACAACAACACTTGGTCACTTGTCGAATTTCCTCAAGGCAAGAAGGCAATTGATGTCAAGTGGGTATACAAAGTGAAAATGAATTCAAAAGGGGAAGTAACTCGACACAAAGCAAGGCTTGTGGCGAAAAGATTTCTACATAAAGAAGGAATAGACTTTGATGAAGTTTTTGCACCTGTTTCTAGGATCGAAACAATCAGGTTGGTTGTTGGTCTAGCAGAAATAAATAGATGGCACATATGTCAGATGGACGTGAAGTGTGCATTCTTGAATGGACCCTTAGACGAAGAAGTTTATATTAAACAACCAGATGATTTTGTGAAACATGACAAAGAGAGAAAGGTGTACAGGCTGCATAAAGCCCTGTATGGATTGAAACAAGCTCCAAGAGTTTGGAATAAGAAAATTGATAGTTTCCTAAGGGAGAAGGAATTTGTGAAGTGCACAACTGAACATGGAGTATATGTAAGAAGAAGCAATAGTGAATTGCTTATACTATGTCTCTATGTAGATGATTTGTTGATAACAGATAGCTGCAAAAGTGAGATCGAAGACTTCAAAGGTGATCTCAGCAAGGAATTCAAAATGTCTTATTTGGGTGAGATTTCATATTTCCTTGGCATCGAATTCTACAAGAGCAGTAGAGTTTTGATGATGCATCAAAGAAGATATGCAAGAGAAATTCTCAAGAGATTTGAGATGAAAGAATGCAACTCAACTTCGACACCTACAGAACAAAGACTGCAACTGTCAAAAGATGCAGACGAAGATGATGTTGATCCAACCCAATACAGAAGACTTATTGGGTCATTAAGATAACTTTGTCATACAAGGCCTGACTTAGTATATAGTGTAAGTATGGTAAGTAGATTCATGCAGAAGCCAAATGTATCACTTCTAGCAGCGGTGAAGAGGATACTAAGGTATCTCAAAGGAACTCTCGACTATGGCATTTTGTTTCCTGCAACTGATAAAGGAAAAGAATGCAAGTTAGTGGGATACACTGATTTGAGTTGGTGTAGTGATGCTGAAGATCAAAAATCAACAGTAGAATATGTGCTTATGTTAGGTGGTGCACCATTTGCTTGGAGTTCAAGAAAGGAACCAGTAGTGGCATTATCATCATGTGAAGCAGAATACATAGCTGCTTCTCTTTGTGCATGTCAAGCAACTTGGATGGTAAACTTAGTCGAAGAGATAACAGGGAAAGATCATGGAGCAATTACCATGAAGATCAACAACATGTCAGCTATCAATCTGGCAAAGAACCCGATAGCACATGGTCGAAGCAAGCACATCGAAATGAGGTTCCACTATCTTCAAGAGCAGGTAGCAGATGGGAAGATGAATTTAGAATACTACAGAACTGAGAATCAGATCACAGACATCATGACGAAGGGAGTGCAGGTCAAAGTATTTAGAAAACTAAGAACCATGGTGAATATAGATAGTTTAGAGACAATGAATTAGGTGGCGTGTTAAATTATAATTCGATTGTGTCGAAACATATTTAATTGGTTTTAGATTTAGATAGATTTGAATTAAGTCTTAAAATAGAATAGATTTGATTTAGTACCAAAATAGGTATTTTGGGCTTTTATAGTTTTGGGCTTAGGGAGCAAGCTAAATATATAAATAGAGGGAGTAACCTCTAATTTTGTAATCAAGTCAATTAAGTTGTATTTACAGAATTTGCAGTTGCAAGTGAATACCAAATTTTTTCACAGTTTATGGGCAGAGAGAAATTCTGCAGAAAATAATTGTCTTCTCTCTTTTCTTTTCTTTCTCATAATTCATTGTCATTGAGTAGAAATTCATCATAGATATTTTGTAGATTTCCAACAATAATTTCTCTCAATATATAAATCAAGAACAAAACTCTAAATAAAAGTCTTAAACCCATATTCGAATACAATTATGAGAATGAAAACGAAAGCATATCTGAATATGTCATTGGAAATCACTGAATGTTTGCGGGTATTTGATCTTCCGATTTGTAGAGTTTCTCATAACCCCTATAAATAGCTTTGAGATTATTTTTCAGTTTTCAATAATCTAACTTGGACTCATTAAATTAAATATTGACTTATGGTATCTACACAATAACCTAACTTTTCATGACATTTATACTTTTAACCACAAACTTATCATTAATTAGACCACTATAACTTTAACTAATTATATAATAACCTTAACACATGTAATATTACATTTGTGACTCAAAATTTTTAACAATGAAACTTTTTAGATAATTTTCAATTTTTTTTCTTTTCATTTTCCCAATTGTACTAAAAAAAGGTCATTTAGAAAAAAGGAATGCTTGTGTGTTTGGAAATAAAGTAGTATAAAATATGTAAGGTATAAAAATAAATGGTCATTATGTAGTTTAAACTATGAAATTTATTAAATTCAATGTGGTTCCAAGAGTGGCTGGCTACATATGAATAAAGTACAGAGGCGTGGGGTATTTATAGAAGTAAAATAGCATGGGAAAGATGAATTGAAAAAAATTTCGCTAGAAGGAGGGGTTGAACCTCCGACCTTGTGGTTAACAGCCACACGCTCTAACCAACTGAGCTATTCCAGCTTCGTTGCTTAGTGAATTCGAATGTCGTTATTCATACACATGTAACTCGTAATGAAATGCAAACATACATTACACACACAATAACACAACTCGGAGACACTGAAACCTCAAACCAACAATCGAAGAAGACACAACATGCTCGAATCCAACCAACGAACCAACAATGACCAAAAACCTGTTCAACTTCAATCTTCCATATAGATCATTCTCCTCCTCACCCGAAACCCCCACTCTCTACTCTTTCCTTCAACCCTGTTTATTCTCCCTCAAAAAACCCTTTTTCGACGAACCCCAAAACCTCCCAACTCCTCCACCACCCTCACTCTCCCTCACACCCCACCAACTTTCATCTCTCCAAACAACTCTCCACAAATCCATCATCACTTCCCAAACCGATGAAGCTTGGAAATCCTTCAAAACCCTCACAACCCACCGTTCCTTCCCACCTAAACCCCTCACTAATTCCCTCCTGTCCCACTTATCCTCCCTCGGCGACATTCACAATCTCAAAAGGGCTTTTGCATCCACCATCTACCTCATTCAGAAATACCCGAACTTGCTCTATTTCGATACGATCCATTCCATGCTTGTTTCCATGAAATCTGCCAACACTGCTGCCCCCGCTTTTGCGATTGTTAAAACCATGTTTAAAAATCGTTTTTTTATCCCTTTTGATTCGTGGGGTGGTGTTGTTATTGACATTGCTAGGAATAATGATAACCTTGCTGCTTTTTTGCCCGTTTTTGAAGAGAATTGTAGGGTTGCTTTGAGTGAGAAGATGGAGTTCATGAAGCCGGATGTTGCTGCGTGTAATGCTGCTCTTGAAGCTTGCTGTTGTGAACTTGAATCGGTAACTGATGCTCAGAGAGTTGTTGGGATAATGTCGAATCTTGGAGTTAAACCGGATGAGTTTAGTTTTGGGTTTCTTGCTTATTTGTATGCACTTAAAGGGTTAGGAGATAAGATAGATGAGTTGAAAGTTTTGATGATAGGTTTTGGTTACTCGAAAAACAATAAATGCTTCTATTCGAATTTGATTAGTGGTTATGTTAAATGTGGTAATTTAGCTTCCGTGGAGTCGAGTTTTCTCAGTAGTTTGAATGATAGAGACGGGGAGGATGTTTGGTGTTTCGATAGAGATACTTTTTGCGTAGTAGTTAAGGAATATCTTCAGATGGGAAATATCAAGGGTTTGGCTAATTTGATTATTGAAGCTCAGAAGTTTGAGTCTTCAAATGTTAAAGTTGAGGAGTCTATAGGTTTTGGTATTGTTAATGCGTGTGTTAGTATTGGATTATCAGACAAAGCGCACAGTATTCTCGATGAAATGAATGCTTTGGGAGGCTCTATTGGTCTTGGAGTCTATGTACCGATCTTGAAGGCTTACTGCAAGGAGAATCGAACTGCGGAGGCTACTCTATTGGTGATGGAGATTAGTAGTTCAGGTCTGAAGTTGGACGTGGAAACGTATGATGCTCTGATAGAAACGTCAATGTCCAGTCAAGACTTTCAGTCGGTCTTTTCTCTGTTTAGGGATATGCGAGAAGCAAGGATTCCTGATTTGAAAGGGAGTTACTTGACTATAATGACAGGTTTGATGGAGAATAATCGACCTGAGTTGATGGCAGCTTTCTTAGATGAAGTGGTTGAGGATCCACGTGTTGAAGTTGGTACTCACGATTGGAATTCTATAATCCATGCTTTTTGTAAAGCTGGGAGACTAGAAGATGCAAGGAGGACTTTCAGAAGGATGATATTCCTGCAATTTGAGCCTAATGATCAGACTTACTTGTCCATGATTAACGGATATGTTTCGGCAGAGAAATATTTTGATGTAATGATGTTGTGGAATGAGGTTAAACGCAAATTATCAACCGATGGACCAAAGGGGATCAAGTTTGACCAAAATCTGGTTGATGCATTCCTGTATGCTATGGTCAAGGGAGGTTTTTTTGATGCTGTGATGCAAGTTGTTGAGAAATCTAAAGAGATGAAAATATTTGTTGATAAGTGGAGATACAAGCAAGCATTCATGGAGAAACATAAAAAGCTCAAAGTGGCCAGGTTAAGAAAAAAGAATTTCAAAAAAATGGAAGCGCTTATTGCTTTCAAGAATTGGGCTGGCTTAAATGCATGAACTGTATGTACTGGTGAGTGACTACAGCTTATCTCAAGGATTATACCATCACTTCTTGATATAACAGCTTAAAATGATAGTCGAGCAAGGATTCATTTCAACATGCATGTTCTTCCGAGAAGCAAGCTTTGATTTCTCAAATTCAGAGCACTTCAATTTTTTACATTTCTCGATAACAGAAGTTTGGGCCTTGCGTGTACTTCGTAAGCCCCTATTCTCTTTATAATTTTTTATGTAATACAAAGCTATTTTTATTCACAATCTTTTAATAAGTGTTCACACCTAAATATAGCATTTTTGGGCCCAGTGTAATCATTTTTACTTTTTTGTTCTCACTTCTCTCCTGATTTTTCTCATTGATTGCCGTCCTCGGCTCTCTTGTGCATAAAATAGGAACTTCAAACACACATCGAATCAGTGAACATATGGTTTTAAGGAGGAAGTGACGTGCAACTCTAAGGCATATTTAGTACACCATACAAATTGGAGTTCAATATCATACACCTCAACTATTGTTTATACGAGCTTCTTTGCATTCAACGTTGTTTTTCCTTGTTTTTGCTTCCATTGAATATTTTATTTATTTGCCTTTATCTAAACAATATAGAAATTAAACACTATCTAAATCTGGTTTGGAGCTGGATATTGTTCTTCCCCAAAACTCATACCTTCAGGTTTGATGTTTTGATCCAGCTTCACATTTTCTAAAAAAATCCTGAAACTGTTTGATATTAGTTCAGAGTTGAGACTTACTATACTGTATCAGTTGCAAATAGTTGGGGCAGTGGTTTTGCCTTCATCCCAAATCTGAGAGCATACCTTCATTACTTTATATGAAAACGTCGCTACATAAAAGTTAGAAATCTCAACTGAAAATCTGAAGCGGTTTACCTGAACTTCCCGCCACAATGAATATGAAGCAAATATGCTTCACCCTAAGGTGGTTGTTGCCACCACCTCATCACCACGAGGACTCAAATCAAGGTCTCTCTTTCCATACTTTCATATCTCCTCTCTTCTAGAATTTTCAATCTGCAAAATCAAACGTTTAAGTTGAGATTTCAGGGTTTTGCCATGAGCATCATGTACATGCAGGTTTATGTACAAATGGAGAGTCTGTACTATTGTCTGTTCACATGGTGATGCTATGAGGGTCGCAATCAGATCTAAGTGTGTTTTGTCTTGGAAAAGAAGTTGGGCAGGAAGCTACAACTTAAAGGGGGTAGATGGCTTGCTGAGAAAGAAAATATTGAACTTTGTAGATGGATAAATTTGAAGTGCTCCATGCTGATCTGGTAGTTATAACAAGGTTACTATACTTTCTCTACGCTTTTACTATTTTAGTATCATTTATTACGCAGGCAGCATAGGGATAAATGATGTAAGATTAAAGTATATCATCTACTCCCTTTGTTCCTAGTTAGTATCATGTATTGTATGCAAAGCAAAATACTAGTGCAGAAGATATTTCCCTTCTTGCCTCCATATTGAAGTTAACGAGTGTTTTGCAATTACAAGCAATTAAGTGTCTAAGTAACAATGATGAAGTTGCTCTGTGTGTGATGGATATGATTTCATGATCAGCATCCTCGACCCTTTTCAAAACCTAAAATTTTGTTTACCCCTTCAGACTTTGCTGTACGATATGATGAAAAGTCAGCAAACAAATTACAAAGTCTCCAAGTCAACGCTTGTGCAGTTTTCAGGCTTGCTATCTCTAAGTTTTTGCAATGGTTTTGATGTGTTAGCGAAGGGGTGAATATATGTAATTGTGGCACTGTTGTTTATGTTTATTTTTGAAGATGGAGATTTAGTTGATTTAGTTGTTTATGTTTATTATGAGCTTTGATATCATCTTGTCATCTATGTGTTGCATGCTTACTTTTCATCTTAACTTTAAAGATAGGGGACTCCTAGGTAGTTTAAGAGGCAAATATCCTTTTGTGAAATGCCTTGCAGACATCTACTTTGATTGCTATATTTCCGCCAAAGGATTTTTCACCCAAGCGATGCCAAACAGATACCGTCCTTTATGTTTCTACTTCTGAGCAATCTTCTCATGTTTAAGCATCTCATTTGTGCCTCCTCTTGAATATGATCTTGAATTAAGGAGAAATTGGAAGTTAAAATTTTCACATGGCTGTTCATATTCCCAAACACATTCTTGTTCCATTGTCTGGGAGTAACCTCAAGCAACTGAAGCTTCTTATTTAAAATGTACATAGAACAACCCACCAACATTCCAACAATTTTGAACGAAATTGTGACATTTATTATGCAGAGACCACAGTTTGTAAAATTTGAAAGGAAAAATCACTCTAGAGGCAGAGAACTTGAATTCAAATAAATTTGGATAATGGTCAGACCTAACCTTTTGCATTGCATTAACAAACATTGAAGTACAACCAATCGGCCAATTTTAATCGCAAAAGACTCTATCCAAAACCTTCTTTTCCACCAGGTTATTCCCTAATGTACCATTAGATCAAATGTGCAATGTTTCTTTAGTGTGAATCTAAAATAGGAATCCTATTGGGGTGTGACTACCTCTGTGTTCACGAGCCCTTAAGATTGAATTGAAATCTTCAATAAAACTCCAAGGTAAGCCGTGACTGCCCTGCAAAGCGGATAGCTCACGCCAACAAATCCTTTTCAGAAGACAGGTTGAGGCATATATAATAGCCAACATAAAACCTTCAAAATTGTGATCAATCCTAAAAAAGTTGGTAAAATGGATCTGACCAGCTAGACATGTCCATTTTATCTGTATTTTTTGGTGGAATGAATTAAGGTTTTAACTCTGTACCCTCTAATATATTTGCTCCGTTCCGTTTTTTTTTTGCGGACACGAACATTAACATAAATTTTTGTAGTTTTTATGTTAAAATGTGCAGTCCGCGGGCCTGCCTTATTCCACCCACATTTTTTTGTAGGGTGGCCAAAATTTTAAATCCACACCCTACACAATGTGATCTATTAAATAATTACCTGACTAGAGTGGATCGTCAAGGTCTTATGTCGAGCTGAAGTTGAAAGCGAGATGGAGAGATATCTGCAAGACACTCTGATGTCAAAGTAAGTTTCAGGGAGAGTGCAAGCAAGTGTGAGTATGAGTATGAGAAAATGAATACTTAGCCCTCTCAAATGAGAGGGTATTTATAGCCCCCAACGCTGGGCCAAGGTCCCCAATGTTGGGCCACGATGAGGTCCAACAATGAAGGCTGACAGGGCTTACGTGTGTACGAAGTCCAGCATGTGGACTCTCCCCTGTTCAATTGTCACGGGAGATTAGGTGTTGCACCCGTGATTTCTGAAGGGCGGTTATGATGACAATGATACAAACACATGAGCCACGTTCCCCAACGGACGCGTGGAGAGTTGCCCAACGATCTCCAACTTGGGTTGCTTGTCTTTGGGCCTTATGCAAGGGTGTCAGATTGGGCCTCTCAGCAGTGGGGCAAGTCCAGGCCCAGTCCAGATCAGGAGCCCCCAAATTATTGCCCTTAGGTTAAAGGGTGATGACTTAAGTTCAGCCTTACGGCCGGGGAGAATTTGCTCGAGAAGGGAGGTCGAAGTCCTCTGATGGAAACGAGTTGTTGCCTGTGTCGGGAACAATCTGTTTGACCGTGTCAGAGATCTTGTGGACAAACGAGCTGTGAGACCAACTGAGTTAGTTATTCGTCCAGTGTTCGACGAGAGTGTATCGGCTACGGGAAGCTTCCACGAACTCTTTCTCGACGTGCCCGTCTTCAAGGGGTTGTTGCGATGCCGAGCGTTATTTTGCCCCTGAGGTGGATTACGACGACTATGCCCGTATGCATGTTTGTCATGGTATCGAGCATTTCTACGTATGAGGTGTTTGTATCGTGCTTGCGTACGACGTTTCGTGTTGAAGTCGGGGAGATATTCGTCTCTTGAGAATGGATATGTGGCTGATTATTGGGCCACGTGGCTGTTGCTTTGGGGTGCCATCTTTTCACGGGGAGCCCAAGAGGCCCAATCCAATGATGACTTTTTCGTGATAAACCTCGTGGGGTGTGAGCTACCTATAAAAAGGGGCCCTCAGGGTTTCATTTATCATTTCTCAAGTTTTCTTCTCCAACTTCCCTTGCTCGCGCGTGAATCCTCTCCTCCCAACTTCTCCAGATTTCTTCCAAGTATCCTTCATCCAAATAAGTCATATTTCCTTAACAATGTATTTCCTTAGTGTTTCTAGATTAAACACGTAGTTTTTGCCTTGACTGGATGAATCTTGGATGAATATTCATGAGTTCTCGAATGAACACTCATGAATGTTCATTGAAGTTCATGAGTTTAATTTTCATGATGTCGGGGACAATCTCCCTGAATAGGGGTGGTTGACTCGGGATTTTTGCCCGTTTGACTAGATATCCCCAATAGAAGTGTAGTTTATTTTAGTGCGCAGTCGAGGGCTTAGATCGAGGTCCGCTTCTCGACCGCTTCATCGCCCTTTCACTTGATCTGCGGTGGAAGGGTGAATTTGATGATGTCGAATTCACTGTTTTCTCCTGCTTTTCAAGTATAACGGCACACTCGGTTGGGGATGATGTCTTGCCCGCCAACCACGAAGACGAAACCAACGTCGAGGAGGACCCCTTGGCCTGGGTCGCACTCGAGCCTCGAAATAAAAGGTCGTGCTTTTCCCATGACGCTACAGACGCGTTCAATTGTCCAGAGGTTCAAGTCGAAGGGCCCCCCACCAACTGGATTCTCCAAATTCCTCATCACAAGTGGAGGATCTGCTCGACATATTCGGGCAAATGTTTTCCCATGTACGAGTTCGCGTTTAGATAGGCGGGGATGCGTTTGCCCTTCCATGATTTTCAAGTGGGGGTTTTCCAGTGGCTTCAATTGGCGCCCTCTCAACTTTACCCAAACGCACTGGCGTTCATGCAGGAGTTCAAGCTCGTCTGCCAGTATCTGCAAATAGGCGCTACGCTGCCCCTCTTCTTCCGTATCTTTCACCTACATAGGCAATCCATTGGAGGAGGGCAAGCGTGGGTGTCCTTCAAACAGTTTGGGAAACTCTTTAGGCCTTATCTGGAGTTTGTCCGTCACTTCAAAGAGAGGTACTTTGTTGTGAAACCTTTGACGGATGCAACCATAGACTCCCTATACACTCGCGTGGAAGAGGTGGAGGATGGGCAACCAGTTACCCGGCCCATGGCCAAATTTATGCTCGGATGGCAATGGAAACATTTCGAGTAAAAGCCCAAGTATTATGCTATAAAGCCTGAGGATTTGGACGCTCAGGATCAACTCTCCTATGAGAAGTTGGCGGCCTATGTTAGGAGCTTCTCCCCAACGAGGTGTGTGGACGTGAACAACAACCTCCTCTTCGAAAACAACGGGTCAAAGTTCGAGGCCCAAGTTCAACTTCTCAAAGATCTGAACAAGCTACGGCCCCAACTGGACGTTGTGACCAAAGAGAACGAGTTCCTGGTTGCCCGAACAAAATAGTTGGAGGAAATTGCGGCCCCGACTGAAGAAGAGACCGACAGAGAAAGCCGTGGTGTCTAGAGCAGAACTAATTGCACACATCTGGGTGCTCGAGCAAGACGTCATGGACACACTTGACTATGGTTTCAACACGGTCGTGGAGCAGCTGAGGATTCTGAACTCGGGGGTTGAGTTTGTGGTCGAAGGCGCGGGGTTGTTTAACCAAGTGATTGATGGGAAAATCTTCTATCCTCCTGAGGATAGTGACGGGGAGGATGAGATTTGATTAGTTTTAGGGTATGTGTGCCCGTTCTTGTTTTATTTTGGATTCGTAACTGTCGTGCTTAATTTTGTAATTATTTAAATAGTGCCGACCTTCGTGGTCGGTTTTATGAATGTCTTCATTTTTGATGGTTTGTAGTTCAAAGTTCTGCTCTTCTGTTGGCTGAGGATTTGAACACTCAACTCCGATGGGGATCCTTGAAATTTAACTCCATTGGGGATATGCTTTTCAAAGCTTAGTTCTGCTTAGGATCCGGATGATGTATTTGCAGGGGATTTCTCCTGGAATAGCCTAAAGACACTTTCCTACACTTCCATTCTATCAGTAATTATTCTTTCTCATTTTGTTTTATTTGTAAGCGGTGATTACATTCAAATGCATATGCTCATTTAATAAATCATTGGACGTTTTCAAATAAAGCACAAGTGTAAAAAGAAAGAAAAGGCAGACAGTTTTCTGTACTTTGAAGTAACTTTGTATTAACTTTGTGTAAGTATTTGTACAAAGGAGACATACACCCTAGTAAGAGAATATTGTCAAAAAGCTGAGAAAATTTTTATACAAAGAAAGATGGCTATGTGTATTAATTCCATGGGGTTCCCATTCTGCTATAGCCTTCACAACTCTGAGTATCTTATCCATTCGTTGCCTCGTCCGTAGATGATTGGATCGATCATAAGCTTTGGAGCTTGTCCGCGAAGAGATTGTCCTTAAAGTGATCCGACGAGACATAGTCATACGCTTTGATTCCCTAACTTTTGCTTGGATCGCCCTTTCAGGTTTTCGATCCACCGGGAAACCCTTTTTTGTCCAAGTCGCCCTTTCGGGTTTTCAACTTGCCGGGTGTACAGATTTTTTCGTTTATCCCTAATTTTTGCCTGAACCGCCCTTTCGGATTTTTGATTC